AGCTTGAGGGGGAGTGTTGAATTAGTTAGAAGTTAAGATTATGTGGACTTAGTTAGAAGTTGTTTTAAAGTTGTTTAGATTTTGTGTTTAAATTTAGCAAATAAATCTCCTTTTTTTGTTAGGGAAGTTAGGAGGTTATTCCTAGATTTTGTTTCCTCTTGTAACCTATAAATAGTGTCTCTATTCCTCATCTTTGATCAATCAATTTGAGAATTTATTTCTTCTCTTTTCTCGAGAGACATCTCGTGTATGTCTCTCTAGTGTCTCTATCCTTAGTTTTTACTATGCTTATCCTACATCACTGACTCTTTTCATGAGGATTATTTTTCCGGTAAACTAGGTTAAATATTTTACAATATGTACGTTTTGTACCCTATTACTTTGAGTTTTTCAATTTGGGAAACTGAGCATCGAGCGAGAACTGTGGTTGGGCAGTTTACTTATTCCAGCCGAGTTGCAATGGTCAGCATGACTATATCTGTATTGATCAATCCATTACTCTTTATACGTGAACTGAAGTACATCTTCAATGTAATAAAACTTTACTGCCCAATGTTGGATCACCAGGCTCATGATTCCATGCAACTTGCTTGTTTAAGGTATTTGGAACTCTCAGAAATTGTTGCTTTGAAGCAGAAGGTCAACTACAAAATTTACTCTTGATATCTGAGTTCCTTTGGCCAGCTTTACTTCTTCCAGTTGCTGGGAACAAGGTAATATTTTTTTATGCGCTTCTTGATCCTCAAAATTTAATAGATTTGTATTTGTTGCTTAGACAATAGTCGTGTGAGGTGGGAGTGGTTTACTTCATAATTGCTTTTACATTTATACTGTAACATTCTTGTGTGCAGGTTTATAAGGTGGAGGATACGTCAAAAATGCCACTTGAGCTTGGAACTGCACTCTCAATTGAGCGCGAGCAAACTGGTGATCCTGAAATTCGAGTTCAAGCATTGGAGGCTATATACATGATCACATTGCAGGTCAAAGAGATAATTACATCTCTGTTTGAATTTGATGAAATCCCATTCCTTTTTTTGAACAAGAAACGAACTTTTCATTGATAAACGAAAAGGAACAAAAAATTGTTCAAAGATACAAACCCCCAAAGGGGTGAAATAAAGTGGATGAAGAAGGAAAAAAAATAAAAATAAAAAAATAAAAAGATACAAACAAACCAAACTTAATAAATGAAGCTTAAACATTACACAAAAAAGCCTCCCAATTCGAACAAATCATGCTAGGAGAATAATTTGCAAAGAGATTGGAGAGAGCACACCATTGTGAGGCTTTGAACATAGCTATACTGTAGCATTCGAATGGTGAGCGGCTTTTCCCTTCGAAAGTCCTTTGATTCCGCTCAAACCATAACTCAGATATAAGCGCTTTAAGGCCGTTTACCCAAAGAAGACTTGCTTTAGGCAAAAAGAAAGGACCAAATAGCAACTGAAAAATTGATGAAGATACTGACTTGTCCTTTACCCAAGCTAAATTGAACATATGAAAGAAAAGATCCCAACAAACTGATGCATAAGGACAAAAGAGAAACAAATGCGTTTGGTCTTCGCTAGTGGCAGCACACAAAACACATATAGAAGGTTGGAGGAACATGTTAGGCAGCTTCTTTTGGAGAGTTTCGGAAGTATTTACTTTCCCCCATTAAGGAGAATCCATGTTAGAACATTCACCCTTTTTGGGCTGCACGAATTCCACAATCTTGAAACAGAATCCTTAGGCAGAGATGAAGGACCAACTCTAGGCTTACAGAGGGAGCTAACCGAAAAGGATTCAGAAGAGTTTAAACTTCATTTCAACTGATCTTCATCATCACAAAGCTGAATTGGATTTAAACATGACAGCAAAGATAAATATTCTTCCAATTCTTCACCCTTTAGCATTCTCCTAACTTCAATTCTCCAAGAAGAAGAATGTGAGTCCCAAGCATCATGGACTGGTATAGAAGGAGAAGAAGAGATCCGAAATAAGGATGGAAACCTATCCTTTAAGATAGAATCCCCCAGCCATAAATGGTGCCAAAATAGAACTCGTTTGCCATTCTTAACCCTGAAAAAGGTAAAGTTTGCCACCAACGACCACTGTTTTTTAATGCAAAACCATGGACTACGACGACTACCAATTTTTTTCCCAGAAACAGTCCAGTTAAAACGGTCAATACCATAAATGCTTGCCACAACTTGCCTCCAAAGAGTTGAAGTTTCTATACTAAACCGCGAGCCCCATTTGGCTAGCAAAGCATGATTTCTATGCAACAATCTCCCAATACCCAAACCACCTTCTTCCCTGCAACGAGAGACAATATCCCACCTAACCAAGTGTTTCAATGTACTCTTCTGACTACCTCCCCCAAAAAAATGATCTCAAACTTTGCTCAATCTGCTTGCTAATAAGAACTGGCATTTGAAATATTGATAAAAAGTACAATGGAATGCTGCCGAGAACCGAGAGGCAAAGAGTCAACCTCTCTCCACGAGAAAGCTGGTACCTTTTCCATCTATCGAGCTTCTTCATGATTTTTTCTTTAATGGGATTCCAAAAATCAATATTTTTAGGATTTCCACCCAAAGGTAGACCTAAGTAAACAATAGGCAGTGTTTCAAACTTACAATCAAACTTCTTTGCAACCATAACCACCCTTTGAAGGTCAATATTAATTCCGCACAGGAAGATTTTTCCCAATTTACTTTAAGGCCCGAAAGCCATTCAAATGCCTTTATAGTATCGAAAAGGACATCCAACATCTCTTCATTATCCTTACAAAATAGCAATGTATCATCAGCGAATTGTAAATGAGAAATATGCACCAAATTGCTCCCCACAATGAAACCTTCGAACAAACCTCTATCGTGGATGTTTTCCATTAAGCTGCTTAGAACATCACTGATCAATAAAAACAAAAATGGTGAAAAGGGATCACCTTGACGTAAGCCACGCGAAGCAAGAATTCTTCCACGAGGCCTACCGTTTATGAAGACCTAAAATTTAGCTCCTCGAATGCACCCATTAATCCACTGAATCAATTTATTTCCAAATCTTTTCTTCCTAAGGACAGCGATCAGAAAATCCCAATCCACCTTATCGAAAGCTTTCTCAATGTCTAGCTTTAAAAGCCAAACTCTCTTTTTCTGTAATCTGTAAAAATCCACCGCCTCATTTGCTATCAATATCGGGTCTAGAATTTGTCTACCCTCAATGAAAGCGCTCTGATTAATGGAGATTGTGCTGGATATAACTTTCTTAAGCCGTTCGGTGAGGACTTTAGCCATAATTTTGTATGTGGAGGTCGTAAGACTAATGGGCCTAAAGTCTTTAACCTTGTCCACAACATCCTTCTTAGGAATAAGACAAATGTAAGTATATTTGATACAAGCATTTATAATACCACTTTTGTAGAATTCTGCAAAAAGTCGAGCAAAATCCCCTTTCCAATGTTGCCAAAATTTGGCAAAAAACTCAATGGTAAAGCCATCAGGTCCAGAGGCCTTATTTTTCCCAAGAGATTTAATAGCTGACCATATTTCAAGATCATCAAATGGTCTTTCTAACCAGTTACTGTAATGATTCGAGAGGGGTCTCCAGTTGATCCCTTTGGGAGAAAATCTTTGGACAGCCTCTCCCTTATACAAATTTTCAAAAAACCCAATGATTTCTGCTTCAATTTCCCTCTGATTTAGCAGGGATATATTTGATTATTTATTTGTCACGAGGGAACAAAAGTTTTTTTCATTGAAGTTATTAAAAGTTGGGAGGGAAAAACAAATAACCTCCCTTCGTTTGGAGGAGAGTATTGGATATCCCCCAAAAACTCAACCAAGAACAAAAAGAACATCCAAGCCCAACCCACCAAAATCAACCGTTGAAACAACAAAAGTTTTAGAACTTGACAAAATGTGAAGTCTAATAAAAGATCCTTCTTGAAGAACAGCTGGCTCAGTAGCTGAGGGGATCTTTTCTCTAGACTCCTTTCTCGAATAAGCCAAAGAATCATATTTTAAACTTCTGCTAATTTTATTATTATTATTTTCTTTTTGAAAACTAGGAAGTAGACTTTTTTACTGATTGTATGAAAAGTTACATGAACTCTCATTCAGAGATATATTAAAAACCGACCAAAAACCCAAAAAGCGTGCTAATAAAACGCCGCAAACCATTGTGGTTGCGGATGCTTGGGATAACACTGGTAATTCTTGGAGGCTGCCAACTAGGCGATCATTGAAGGATGATGAAGTCATTGAATTGGCAAATCTTTTATCCTTGCTTTCTTCAACCTCCATCACTGATTCAGAAGATCATCGAGTATGCAGTTTAGAAGCTTTGGGTTTATTTTCGGTTCGATCGTTGAGAAAATTCGGGCATTCGGTTTCTAATTTTCCTAAGGAAGTACTACCTATTCTATGGAACTCTTTTTGTCCAAAGAGAGTTAATTTCATGGTTTGGATTCTTCTAATGGGAAAAGTTAACACTTCAGAGACATTACAAAAGAAAATGCTCAATTCTTTGATGCAGCCATCATGTTGTTTATTGTGCAAAGCAAGTGGGGAAACCCAAAGACATGTCTTCTTCTCATGTAGCTATGCAGTGGCCTGTTGGAAAAAATTGCTATTTATGTTTGAAGTTTCATGGGTGTGGGATCTGAAGGTGCCTCAAATCATTTTTCAGCTTTTCAGTGGGCTGCAAGCAAGCTCTACAACTAATCTGCTTTGGGCTTTTGGAATAAAAGCTCTTCTTTCCGGATTGTGGTTTGAGAGAAATCAACGAATTTTTGAAGGCAAGAATCGATCTCCTATGGAGTGTTTCTCAATCGCCAAATTCAAAGCCTCCCAATGGTGTGTTCGTTCTGATCTCTTCTCTTCTTGTTCTCCTAGTACGCTTTGTATGAATTGGGAGGCTTTTATAACTCCCCTTCAAGGAGGTTTCTTTAAGTTTATGGTTTTTATTTCTTCTAATG